AACCGAGAATGTACCAATATGCCGGGTATATATACGGTGTATACCGGTGGGGATTACTTCAATCGGGAGAGTGTGGATTGATTGTATAGTGTGTGTGTGGAGGAGGAGGAGTGGTGGACCGGAGCAGGGGTGGTAACAAACACAGATTTGAGATGCTTACTTGGTGTCCCGCCGGACGCATGGTGATGGGATCCGTCGGTGATCGTGTGCGTCTGATGGTGGCCGGCAGCGATGGCGCGCTTGATCAGGATCTCATTGCACTCCTCTTGCGTGAGATGCAGTGCTCCGATCGAGCTGAAGTGCGACTTGGCCGCCGCAGAGCCGGCGGTTAGCACCGTCTGTCCGGTCTTGGCATCAACGATGCTGCCGTTGGTCAGCGTGTGGTGGTGGGCGAGCCCCGGATCCCCACCAGCAGCGGCTGCAGCTGCTGCGGCCGTGGCCGGATCCACCAGCAGATCTGTTGTTGTTGTTGTTTCGTTTTGATGGTATCATATCGTTCCGATTGGAGAAGGTTCGATCAGCCCGCGCCCGCCGCCCGCCAAGTGATGAGGTGTTGTGTGTATGTGGTGTTAAATGGTGACAGTGATGTGGTGTTTGTGTGGTGCAGTTAGCGAAATGATCGGTGGGTCGGTGGGTGGATCAGGTGCAATAGCAATACGGGCAAACACACAAGCACGGTGGGAGTTTTTTGGAGGAGATGGTGGATTTTGGGGTTCGGTTTCGGGTTCGGGTTCGGTTTATCGGGTTGAATTCAAGGGCGAGCGAGATCGAGCGAGAATTAAAAAATATATAAATAAAATAAATAAACGGGAGTAGAGAGAGAAAAACAATCGATTAACAGAAAACCAAAAAATATAGATAATCACAACACAGTAACAGCAATGCGTGCAACACTGATTCGATTCGAAGGGTTTTTTGTACGCTTTAAATCGATTCACTTACAGTTCTTGTCGAGGCTCAGAACCTGCTGATTGGGGTCCTGCTTCTTGACCACCGTCGATCCTCCTCCGGCGGTGATAACTCTGGAAGGCGACACAGAAAATGATGTAGGGATGGATATATTTTGGTGGACTAACTCCAACGCACCTCTGTGTTCCAGGCGGAAACGATGGATCGTTTACGACAAACATGCGACGTACGACATTATTTTTGCCGCCAGCTGTGAGGCCTTTGACGTCCTTTTGAACAGCCAATGATCCATCCGTCGATAGCAGATAGGGCATCTAAAACAAAGGAATTTTAGTACTGATTGTTCTAAGGTTAGTGTTTAAATGTTACTTCCTAAACTAACAAATAAACTTCATAGTTGCTAATAAAGCTGCTATAGAGCAGCAACACAATTATTTAAGGCATTCGCTCGATATAGTAAATCTAGTTTAATAAACATAAAATATTTTAGAATTCTTTTCTGATTTAAATGAATTGCAATTAATCGAATTGAACACATTTACACGTGTTTTTGACCAACTATTTTTTAAGCCCTTTCGCCTGACAATAAATGTAGAAAGTATATACATATATACATATGTTAAATACATTTATTTATTAAAGTATAATTATTTATAAAATATATTTAATCCTTTTAAAGTCTACACTTCCTTTAATCAGGTTATCATTGTACTTTTTTTATGAAATTCCATTGTAAATCAAATTTATTACCGTATTCAATGATAAACTTTATTATAGTTAGTATACTCTAAACTTTTAATGTAAGCTTATTATATTTGAAAACTTTCTTGTTCAAAAGACCTTAATTTAAGAAAATTAAAAATGTTCTTCACGGCTAACTCATAGAACGAGAATTAAATATAAAATGGTTTTTGAAATATAAATTTTTAATTGGCGTTGAGTTTACGCATGGTATTTGCAATTCTGAATGAAGAGCAAAGGTGAAGCTTTTTTTGGGAACTTAACAGATAGTACAGTCGCCACTCGCTATGCTAAGATCTGCAAGCTGCGCCTCAAGTTAGCGGTTAATGCTTCTAACCGTGCTATGGTTTTGTTTTCGTTGCTTGTTTTTCGCTCTGATTGATAGCCAATAACCACGCTACACCTGCGCAGCCAGCAGTGCGGCAACAGATGATAAACAGAGAGTGGTGGAATGACAGGGGGTGGGGGTGATGGCGCGAGGGGATGTTCGCAGAAAGCGCGCCTTTTTCACTCTATGGGTGTGTGAGTGCAATTGGACATCGTGGCATGTGAGTGTATGCGTGTTGGGCGCCAAAACGGTACGGCAAAAGTAATCAAAACACACGCACGACAAAACGCACACCAAAGAGCACACGTCATTTCTGTGCGTGTATAACACTCACACAAACAGAAAAGTAACTGCGGCGAATTCGCCACTGACGCACACACATGTAGAAATCGGGCGCGCAAGTGCGACAAATTCGCCGCGTTTGCAGTTGTGTAAGTGCTCGCAACAACAAGAAAAGAAGAAAAACAAACGCAATTTCTCCATTGAATTGCACAACAAAAATTGTTGCTCTCCAAAAAGATATACAAAACAAACTGAACAGCAATAACAACAACCAAATCAAGGGAGAAGCAATAATTATTAATAGAACTTAAATTGGGTTAGCGATACATAGTCTAGAAAAATATCGATTAGCATCGATTGCCTTTGCCAGCTGCCAGACTTTTGAGAATTTCACGACCTTCCCGTTAATTAATTGCTTGGATATTTTGGGTGGGGGGGATGGTTGGACCTTTAGCAATAACTATTTATTTATTTACTTATTTGCCAGGTGCGCGTGTGTTTTTATTTTGGGACTGGGATTGGCATTTCTCTACGCGCACACACACCGCTTGAAATGTGTGTTTTGTGTACGCATTCGCTTTACAAATACCAAATTATGAATGTTTACGAATGAAATGGAAACGAAAAAAACCCCTATGGATGTATGGTAAAAGAATTCTAACACACTCGCTCCATTCCCCCTGTATATATTCGTATATTCGCATGACAACGCAGTTACATAAAGTGTGGCTGTGGCGTGTGCATGCATATATACATTGTACAACGTACATGTATGTACGGATGTACACATACCCGTCTGTATGTCTCAGTCACTCGTTTTTCCACGTATTCGGTATACCGTATACGTGAATGCCAGTCGGGCCGTATACATACACAGTTCGTTGCCGAAAGCAGCGAGTGTTGGTGAGGCGAGCGAACGAGTGGGTGAGCGAGTATAACGCAGTGCGTGTGTGCGTTTGTATGTATGCGTTGGTGGGCCACAACACGATTCGGTGTGGGAAAGCAACAGCAACACACCTACACACGCACCTGGAGGGGAAAGGGGAGGGGGATTGGGGGGTTACATCCTGACAGCATTCAAAGGATATCATTCCTATAATATAGATTTTTATTTTAAACTCACCGACTCCCCGCTGACCGTGTAGTTGATGTTCGGCGATATCTCCAGTACCGATTCGGTGGCGCGGTTGCCGTTGTCAGCAAAACCCCAGGTATAGCCGAAGGGCGGCGGATTCTGGGCGGCGCACATTGTTTAGAGAGAGGGGGGTTAACGGAACGGGGCGGGATTTTTCGGGGGGGCGGGAGACGGAACGGAACGGAAGAGAAAAAAGCGCAAAATTTCCAAACGCAAATGTAATTGCACTTCTCGCTTGCTTGTGGTATATGTAGGTATGTATGTATGTATTCTAAAGCACGTACAAAATACTAGCCTCCTTTCTAGTAGTAGTAGTAAGTGGAAATTGGTAATGGTATTTTTTTTGCGGCTGTGTGTTCGATAGTCCGAAATATACACAACAAATTCAATCGTTTGGGGGTTCTTTTCAAGCACTTTTTATATTTTTCTTCTGGGGGATATCGCACTGCGACGAAATCGACAAAAAATCACCGCATTCGTTCGCCGACGACGAGACGGGGGCGAACTACACTATATAGACCGAAAAGAAAGTCAAGTTGCTGCTCTGGCTGCGGGCGCCATTTTTTTCCGTCCCTCGGCACGGTCTCTAAAAAAATTCACTTGGCGTTGGGGAACGACACTCCATTGATAACACTCTCGGTTTTAAGCGACTTCTGGCGACGTGTGGGCGTGGGTGTGCGTGTGCGTCGATGTGTGTGCACGCGCCCCGTGTGGCTATGTGCAGTTTTTGCAATTAAATTTATAAACAAAACACTCTTTTTCCTCCAATATAATTCACAGACACAGACAAATTCCTTAGTGTTCGTGCTTCTCGTTCTCTGACGCCATCTTGTGTGTGCGCGGGCCAGGGTTGTCAGCGTGCCGCAACTATCGCGTGCTCGATGTCTGGCAACGCTGGAATGGGTTGCCCAGTGTAACCATATCTTTGGGTATTTTTCAAAGTTCCCTCAACGGTCACGCTTTGCATAACAATTCACATTTTCCGATTGAACATTTAATTTTTATTAAAACTTGTATTATATCTGTAAAATATTAAGATGTCTCTGTCGCCAGCCAGTGGCATTGGTCGGTTCTACGCCAAGTCGGCGAAGATCATACGTTTCGTGCGCCTGGGCTGCACCAACCGGCCTTTTTACCACATTGTGGTCATGGAGGTGGGTATTTATAGCCCTTAAAAGGGGATATAACTTCTTATAAATAATTATATCCCCTGTTTTAGAGGCGCAAGAACCAGCACCAGCCCGTCATCGAGCAGGTTGGCTCCTTTGATCCCCTGCCCAACGATTACAACGAACGTTTGGTCGCCCTGAACACCGAGAGGATTCGCTATTGGCTGGGCAAGGGGGCCCACTTGTCTACGCCGGCTGCCGAGCTCCTGGGAATCGCCGGATTGCTACCCATTCACCCACGTACCTACATGTCCGCCTGGCGGAACCGGAGAGCTGCGGCCGAGGCGGAGGCCACAGCAGAGAAGGCGGAATCAACAGCTTGAAGATCGCAGTAGTTCCTCAATAAAAGCCTCGTTTTCGTTTTTAACGTTTAACAAGCGGAGATTTCTACTTGTTCAGCGACCACTGGTGCTCTTCTTATCAACAACAAAATAAGTACAGATTTAAAATTTATTGCAAAACGTAACCAATACGAGGTGAGGTTAGTGACCGGGCCCTAAACCAAATGCATGGGTAAGCGAGCAGCGGGCGAAGCTACGGCATATCGGCACATCCTAGTCGTGCTTCAGCACTCCAGCGGCCTTCTTCATGCCATCGTCGATGATCCTGTCGACAGCTGGGGGAAAGAAAGATCCTCAATTAGCCTCATTTATACTTCAAGAGGTACTTCAACTATTCACTCACATTCGTGATGTTTCAGGAAGTAGGGTCGCACCAGCTTGGCGTAGATAATGGTGGAACCGTTCTGTTCCGTAGGCAGCATGCACCAGATGAGGAAAGCACACTGGAAAACAGGGTATACCATTCAATTTCAAGAACCACTTAAGAAGGCACACAAAACTCACTTTCAGCAGCCAGTAGAAGGGAATCACCGAAGTCAGCAGGCCAGAGAAGAACTCAATGACCGTGAAGATGCCGAAGGTGACCCAGTAAATCAGCCACTTGGTGTCGTCCTGCTTCGAGCTGGACTCGATGGCATGGATGGAGATGTAGGCGGGGTACAGCACTCCAATGATGTTGCACAGCAGTTGGGCGCCATAGCCGAAGATGAGATAGAGGGCGACGAAACCAGCAGCACCTGGAAAGAGTAAAGCACGCCTTATTAGGGAAAAGCTTTATAAGATTGCTGGAGCTCTACCGAAGCGCAGGAAAGCGTTCTCTACAAACAGCTCGACTATTTTGCTCTCCAATCCCTCGACTGCCATGCTTGCCGTCTAGTTGGTCAATTGCTGCTGCCCTAGAAGCGCATTTTCCCTTTGGCTATAACCAGGTCCAAGGCAGGAGCGGTTCTACAAGGCGCAGGGTGGTCAAAGGGTTTCTTAACTTACACACTTTAGCTACAAGACTAATTATTCGAAGGACATTAAGCCAGATACCTGTACCCTTTTTATGAGCGCCCCTTCGCGGATCCCTGGGGTTCCTAAACCGCCCCATGCCGTTGGCTAATTATAAACCCTTAGCTGTTGTCAATGGATGTCTCGACCTGTCTCTGATCCCGGCCAGTTGCATTTTGCCCGCCCAGATGAGCGGACTACGGCCTGTTGTTTTGCCATAAATGTATGATGTCATTCATGCTAGACGTCGGCTAATTATATTTATACCCTGGCCGGAGGGTATTACAACTTTGATTATAAGTTTGTTAAATCGATATTAAAGACCTTACAGTTGTATGCATTCTGGTTTATCGTCACGGCTTACAGGCAAGTTGATCTGATAGCTCATTTTAAATGATAGCTTTCTTCATAGATGTCTGTTTACATACACAGTTTGTTAGCCGGATTCGCACATCTGTCATCTTAATTTGTTCTATAATTATTATTACAATTATCCTACACCCAAAGAAATGTTTACCCACAATTCGCGAAACATCATTGTGTTTAAATCGTTATAAATCTTAAAATCTGCCAACAACTTATCCTATAGCCGCTCAACTAATGAGGCCAAGTGATCAAGTGATGAATCAATGTTTGTCAGCACTTCAAGGGTATATTTCCTTTATGGCAATTATGACCGCATTCTCACCTATTCCCAGGTAAACCAGGGGAACTCTGACATTGCGCCGCACCTCCCGTCGATGTCTGATTAGCATAATATACTCCCAGAGCCACATCGGTCAATCCGGCGAGCTCTGGAACTGGAACTTAAAGCTCTGTGGGTCTACGCACACAGGTGTGTGGATTTTCTCCACGTGTGCTGAGCGCCACGTCTCAATTTTTAGACCTTTTGACCCCGCGGAGCTGGACTTTCACCGGACCGTTTAGGAAATATGAAAATTGTGGAATGCGCGAAATATATTGCTCGCGGCGAACGCGTTCTGAGAAAATGTACTTTCGTTAAAGTAAACAAAGAAAAGCACAAAACATGAAACTTTTGTGGATAAGAGACGCACACATCGGCAGCTGCCTACGTAGCTGGCTACACGCACACATCACATGCTGAAATACCAGTGTACTCGGTGTACTTGTGGAGCGCTTGGTGATAAAACTAGAAACACTATTTAATTGGGCTTTGGCGTTTTAGTCGAGTGATTAGTTGCCTAATTGGTCACCAGGGGGTGATTAAACCCCCCCATCACGATTCAACCACATAGCATTGCTATATATAACAGGTTGCTATTTATATGCATCCCGAAAAATTCCACTGCATTTCGATGAAATTCACTGGTTACGCAGTCAATTACCAGGAGGTCAGAGGTGGGCTTTCTAATGGGGCGGTGTCTGTGGCAAGGACACGCGATGACGTCGCCGGGACAACACACTCACCGATGAAAATGTTGACCCTATCCACACCGGTCTTCTCCTCCACCGTATCGAAGGCCTTGGTCCAGGGCTTGGAAGCATCGCGCAGTGCCCGGCCGACGTTCTGTTTGTAGCCGTTGAAGAACTGCTGCACCTGGGTCACCTGGGAGGCCATTTTGCACCGATAATATTTCAAAATATCAAAGCCAAGTTGTCAATCAAAAATATGCGACGCCGCCGACTTTCCCAACACTTGTGTGACAGTGTGACCGCTGCAGCCGAGAATACCAAATAGGAAATGCACTAATGGTCTTACTAAAACGGCAATCCTGGCGGTTTTTCAATATTTTATTTAATTTTTCTGAAGGAATTATTTGACTTTGGGGTCAAGTAAACCTTTGGCGGTGTTCCTACGACATAAGTTTAATTTTTCTCGCAATTTAGAATTTTGAAAACAATGTAAAGCGACAGCAGAGCTGCCAGATTTTGGCAAGATTGAAATCCGTTTTTCAAAACTCCAATATCAAGAATTGAAGACTACTTTTCATTTCCCCAAGGGTTATAAAAACATAACATGGTTAACATACGATAATTTTGTAGTATTTGTATTATTAAAATATATTATCAAATGCACTGCTTCACTTTTAAGCCTGAAGAAAAAACAATTTCAATTTGTGTTCTGGGGGAAAACATAATGATCGCGCAGGTAAAGCAACTTATCAAAAAATACAAATATCAAGGTGTTGTGGGGGGCAGTTCGGAGGTAGATGGGCCAAAAGCCCTTGTACATCCCGTGGAGACCCTCCGTCTTCAGGATCTTGGTAAAACAGTCTACCAAGCCGCGATAAACTAGGCCTCGTCCTTTTTCATCCACTGGCTGATTGTACATCCGAGTGGTGACCACATCTAATGGAGAGTTGGCCACTGAGACCAGGCTACCGGAGGTCAATCCGGCGCAAAAGGAAAGCAGAACCGGATGAGTTACCCATCCGTTATCCTTTAGCAGGGCCTTCGCCTTGGGGAAGCTGCCAATCTGAACACTGGAGGCAACTAGCGTCCGGCTCATGCTCGCCAACGATCCGCGCCAGAATCCCGGAATGCCATTGGTCCTGTAAATGTGGAGGAGGGCATCTATCATCGAGGTGTGCTTGTGCTGGAAGCCCACGGCTATTGACTGAACTGCCTGGGCGTGCTGTTGTGCCTTTATCTGAAGTGGAGAATAATCAGATCTCAAGGCCTGGTTAAAGTAACACCCACTACTTACCATATAGAAGGGACTAGCGAGAGAGGTGCCGGCACAGCCGCCCATGGCACCGAAAAACATGCCGCGATAAAAGGATATGGAGCCATCCGTGTTTTGTAAATATCCAAGCTCCAAAGCGTTCGAGTAAACGCTTAGCCTACAAGAAGAAAAGATAAAGAAAATAACAAGAGCCAGAAATTTCTAAACTAATTTTAAATGTAGGTCTTAAATAGTAACGTCTTTTCTGTAATCATCTCTATTTCCCTATTTGTATTTCTTGACGAAGTCATAGATAAGATAATTATGCGTACCAACTTATTTAACATTATTTTGCTACTTATTGAAGTTCTTCAGCAGTATATAATCAACACAAGGCTTTACAGGAAAAAACTTATCTTAAAAATTTGGTGTTTCATAATTTAAAGCTATTAATAATAGTCCGTTAAAACATAGAGTACATACTGACGGCTTTATGTGACCAATATAAAATGTACTGCTTATTATAGTATTTGTATATATGTGGGGAAGCCCAAATAACATATTCCCCATATGTTTGGAGTTTTTTCATAGAAAATTTGTCTACCCCTTCCTAATATTGCATAGGCCCGCCACTGGTTTCTAGGGTTGGAAGATAGTTCTAACAATCATATAACCGACTTCAAGACTTCCATATGAAATACATATCAAAGATATCTAAGCAATACTTGCCTGACCGAGTTGAGGACAAACTGATAGCATAACGCCGGAGCCAGACCCTTTTCCAAGGCAAGAAGCCCGTCGTTGCGCACTATCTGCACCATGGCCTGGGGTAGATTCTTGTAGGGCTCCACATAGGTTCCGCGGGACGCCAATTCTCCCTGCAGCTGCATCCGTGTCTTGACCACATCGATGGGATTGGTGAACATCACCGCCCCCATTGCGGCCACGCCTCCCAGCACAAAATCGGACTTCGTCATCTTTTCACCTTAGTTTTGAATTTGGTTGATGTTACGTTATCATTTTGTTTACTGTCGGTCTCATGAGTAGTCGACAGAGTTGTAGTACCTTGACCAATTTAACAAAAAATTGCCAAACTTAAAATTACTTTTCATTAGTTTGAATTGTGTCTGAGAAAAAATTTAAGTAAAAGCACTTATTGGAAATACCCATTAGTTAATGTTGTAGATTTATTTTTATTTTTAGACATATAAAAGTGCTATACATATAGCTGAAATCTTTAGGTTTACTTTTACTTACGTAGAAGTATTAAGATGAAGGAGTAGAATAAACATAATTTTTTATTTAAACTTAATTTTTTGTTATTATCGATAGTATCGATAGTTCGTTACCTTAAATTTCAAAGACTTTTAAGAAATTAATTTTTTTCTGTTTAAAAAAATGTTTTGAAATCAATAATTTAAAAACATTTATATGGCATTGTGTAAATATTACGTAATTATATGGCATTGTGTAAATATTACGTAATTATATAATGAATAATATTTGATCAAAATACTTTCTAATTTTAAGAACCTCCCAGATGTGAAAATAATTATAGAAATGTATGTTGTTCTCAGGATTTACTGTACCCTCTTCAGTGAATACTTCAAGATTCAGTTTTTAATACAAATATTTTTAATTCTTTACTTACCTCCTTGTATAAAAGTAACAAACTAACCCGTTTATTTCACTAAAGTATTGCACAGTTAATGGCTACAGGAACAGCTCTAAGATTAGCTTACTGAAGGCACAAATAGGTTCTGAGGCTTTGCTAAGCTAATAGATTGGAACTTCGATTTTAAGCTACTCGCTACAGACTAAAGCAGAGTTGAGACATACAAAATATAAATGTAAAAGTTTGTTATCTCGCATAAAAATAATGTTTCATATAGACATTAGCTTAAGTAAAACAACATATTTAAGTGCGGGTATTACAAACGAGTTGAACAGTTTTGTTCTTAAAGTAATGCTACCCATCAACTGATCTTTGGGATCATTGATGACTATACTTTGAGCGCAGGGCGATAAGCTCGTCGAAGAATAGCAGCACCAACGTTGAGTGGGGGGCATTGCGCAGGTAGTTGGCCCAGAATCCTTTGTACATACCGTAGACACCCTCGGATCGCAGGATCTTCACGAAACAGTCCAGCCAACCCCGATAGAGCAGACCACGTCCCTTGGCGTCCACGCCCTGGTTGTACAGGCGGGTGGAGATCACATCTGGCGGCGTTATGGCCACCGACATAATGGAGCCCGCTATTAGGCCAGCCGAAAAGGAGTTCAAGGTGGGCTGGGTCACCAGATCGTACTCCACCAGGAGTGCTTTGGTCTTGCCAAAGGTGGCTATCTGGGCTCCCGATCCGAGAGCTGCCCTGGGCAGGGCGGCCACCGATCCCCGCCAGAGTCCTCGCACTCCATTCTTGGTATAGATCTGCCGCAGGGCATCGCTCATGGAAGTGTGGGCATGCTGGTAGCCCACTGCGATCTGCTTCGCGGCTTGCGACTGCAACTGCGTTTTGATCTGGAAGGGAAGGGCGATTTATGTTAATACAATAATTATATAAGCAATTTAAATTAAGCAAGCAGCTTAACATATTAAAAGAAGGAAGAACGCTATAGTCGAGTACCTCGACTATCAGATACCCGTTTCTCAGCTAAAGGGATCAAAGGGAAAAGGAGATATGCAAGCAGCAAAGCGAGATTGAAATAGAGTGGGCGTACAAGGCTACGGCATCTAAATCTGAAATACCAATTCTCTATCTTTGATAGTTTCCGAGATATCCGCGTTTATATTTACGGTTTTTTGAAGTTTGTGGGCCTTAATGTGGGCTTGGCAAACTTTTTAGGTCAATCGATTGGTTTTGATAAGAACAACACATTTCAGTTAAAATTTGTATGCTAGCATCAAAACTGTAGCCACAATTTTGGGAGGTTTGTGGGCGTTAGAGTAGGCGTGACACCCTGCTGAAAGCAGAAAGAAGCTTAGGAATCTACTCACCAACTTTCTAGCTTTCGTAGTTTCTGAGTTCATTCGGACGGACGGACAGACGGACATGGCTAGATCGATTCGGCTAGTGATCCTGATCAAGAATACATATACTTTATGGGGTCGGAAACCCTTCCTTCTGCCTGTTACATACTTTCCGACGAAAGACTTTACCCTTTTACTCTACGAGTAACGGGTAAAAAATAATACAAAAATGTATGTTTTGGCATGTAAATTGATAATATATAAGTGTTTAACCAATTAAGGTTATTGATTGTACAGTTAATGGTACAGTAAGCCATTGACTAAAATTCTTTTGAATAAATTATGTCATTAAGTGATATTCACATACTTATCTGGAGATTACTGCTATCAACCAGACGATTTCGTGAAAACTTCTTCTGAATGTCTTGAAATAGAAATATTTAGATACTAATAGGCAGTTGTCAATAGTGGTTCTTATCTGTGGAAGGTCCAAAACAGTGATCAGCTCATTTAGATAAGCAGTTTGTTTATGTAACCCCCCTGCAACATTCACATAATTGGCGTACCAAGTAAAAAGGACTGGAGAAGTAGGAACCCACGACGCCGCCGATGGCGCCCCACATGAGTCCCAATCCGTAGGACACCTCGCCATTCCGGTTGTGCATCCACTTGCGCTCCATTGCCTCCGAATAAATGCTGAGACTGGGGATTGGATATAGTAGATAATAATAGATTAGTTAATAGCAAATACAGAATGATGGGTAATACCTACCGGAAGGAATTGATGACGAACGCGAAGTATAGCGCGGGAGCCAGACCCTTTTGGAGGCCCAGCATGCCATCGTTTTTGGCCACCGTGACGAAGGCATGGACGATGCTTTTGTAGGGTACCACATAGGTTCCCCTGGCCGCCAGTTCGCCCTGCAGCTGGATCCGGGTCTTGATCACCTCGATGGGATTGGTAAAGAAGGTGGCGCCCACGGAGGCCAGACCTCCCAAAACGAAATCAGAGGTGGCCATGTAATCACGGGTTTAACTTGAGGTTAGTGGGTGACTAGAAACGGTTGTGCCGCCTGCCTCGGAGTTTGTGGTCTCAAGAAGCCGCTAGATACGTAGCCGTGTATTTCATAATTCCCCGCCGCGATTATCAGGCACGACTGTGTTCCCCACGACCGTTATACAAATATAATGTAAATATGGCGAGGAAAGTACTATAACTTAGTTTCAGTGTGCCCGCACAGAAAGCTGCCAGACGCGAAAATTTAAAACATTTTTTAAACATTTTTTTTGTATTAATAACAGGGAAAAGGTCTAAGAGGTGAGAAGAATGGGATAGGATAGAGGTCTTAAAAATATGCAAGAAAGGATTTTATACCGGGAACCAAAGTCGCAGTCACAGTGATGTGTGCATTTTACCAAGTCCGGCAACTCCGTACCTTCTAAGATTATTTTAGGCTATAATATCGCCAAATCATTAAATCAATAGAACCAATAGTATTTAATAAATAAATAAGTTTAATAAATAAATATTTAATTATACATTTTTCCTTCTTAAAAATCAAATGACCAAAAATTAAAAACAATTTAAAGAACACTCAAAACAAATTCTTATTAAAGCATATTTCAGAATGGCGGTTTCATCTTTTAAAGTACTCATTGATCAGTAGTGAAGATCGTACTTCTCCCGCAGTGCGATGAGCTCATCAAAGAACAAAAGCACCAAAGTGGAGTAGGGAGCACTCCTCAGATAAATGGGAAAGAAGCCCTTGTACAACCCATACATTCCCTCCGATCGCAGAATCTTGAGCACGCAGTCCAGCCAGCCCCTATAGTAAAGCCCACGACCTTGGGCATCCACTCCCTGATTATAGAGACGAGTGGTGATCACATCAAGAGGAGTAATTGCCACCGACACAAATGACCCAGCTGATAAACCAGAGCAGAACGACAAGACTGTGGGATGGGTAATCAAGCCGTTTTCCTTCAAAAGAGACTTGGCTTGGCCAAATGTGGCGATTTGCACGGCAGAAGCAACCGTAGCCCGGCTCACATTGGCCATAGATCCCCGCCAGAGTCCAAAGACGCCGTTCTTCCGGTATATCTGCCTTATCGCATCGCTCATCGAGGCATGCTGATGCTGATAACCAACGGCGATCTGCTTGGCCGCCTGTGCCTGAAGTTGCGTCTTGATCTTGAATGGAAAGGTAGCTATCAGCGATCACCGGTCTTATCTTATCTGCGCTAGACATTGTCAAATGTCTGTCAAAGCAGACACCTCTAATGTATGATTTACATAATCGCTTACCAGGAAGAAGGGACTGGCGCAATAGGAACCAACAACGCCCCCCAAGGCGCCCCAAAACATGCCCCTTGCAAAAGAGATTTCGCCCTTCTTGTTATGCACCCAACCCTTCTCCACGGCATGGGTGTAAATGCTCAAACTGTGGGTAAACAAGTAAACATTTGATAACATTTTTCGATATATCACAGATAGCACTCACCGGAAGGAGTTTATGACAAACTGGAAGCATAAAGCTGGAGCCAACCCCTTCTGCAGACCAAGAATTCCATCATTTTTGGCCACTGTCACAAAGGCCTGGAATACACTCTTATAGGGCTGAGCATGAGTTCCTCGGGCGGCCAGCTCTCCCTGCAGCTGGATGCGAGTTTTGATCACCTCCACAGGATTGGTGAATAAGCCAGCTCCCATGGCAGCCACGCCGCCCAGCACAAAATCCGACGTAGCCATCAATGCAACGTCCGCTCTGTATCACAATCTAGTAATCACTAACGCTCTCTACTTGCGATAAGAAGCGGACTGAAAAAATGTGTATAAAAGTAACAAACTAACTGGTTTATTTCACCAAAGTATTGCACAGTTAATGGCTACAGGAACAGCTCTAAGATTAGCTTACTGAAGGCACAAATAGGTTCTGGGGCTTTGCTAAGCTAAGAGATTGGAACTAGGATTTTTAACTACTCGCTACAGACTAAAGCCGAGTTCAGACATATAAAATCTGAACTTAGCTTAAGAAAGTAAAGAAAATATATAAGAGCGGGTTTTACAAACGAGTTGAACAATTTTGTACTTAAAGTAATGCTACCTATCTACTGATCTTTGGGATCATTGATGACTATACTTTGAGCGCAGGGCGATAAGCTCGTCGAAGAATAGCAGCACCAACGTTGAGTGGGGGGCAATGCGCAGGTAGTTGGCCCAGAATCCTTTGTACATACCGTAGACACCCTCGGATCGCAGAATCTTCACGAAACAGTCCAGCCAACCACGGTAGAGCAGACCACGGCCCTCGGCGTCCACGCCCTGGTTGTACAGACGGGTGGTGATCACATCTGGCGGCGTTATGGCCACCGACATAATGGAGCCCGCTATTAAGCCAGCCGAGAAGGAGTTCAAGGTGGGATCGGTCACCAGATCGTACTCTACCAGGAGGGCTTTGGTTTTGCCAAAGGTGGCTATCTGGGCCCCTGATCCGAGAGCTGCTCTGGGCAGGGCGGCCACCGATCCCCGCCAAAGTCCTCGCACTCCATTCTTGGTATAGATCTGCCGCAGGGCATCGCTCATGGAAGTGTGGGCGTGCTGGTAGCCCACTGCGATCTGCTTTGCGGCTTGCGACTGCAACTGCGTTTTGACCTGGAAGGGAAGGGGGATTTTAAAACATTGATTCTACGTTTAATGGTAAAGTAAGCCATTGACTAAATTACTTTTGAATACATTGTCATTAAGTAATATCCAAATATATATATATATATATCTGGAAATTACTGGTATCAACGAGACGATTTCTTAAAAACTGATATTTATAAATTTTTTTGGATATGATACCCTTTTTCTGAATGTCTTGAAATAGCAATATTTAGATACTGATAGGCAGTTGTCAATAGTGGTTGTTATCTGTGGAAGGTCCAAAAAAACTGATGAGCACGCGGCTCATTTAGATAAGCAGTTTGTTTATGTAACCCCCCTGCAACATCCGCATACTTGGCATACCAGGAAAAATGGACTGGAGCAGTAGGAGCCCACGATGCCGCCGATGGCGCCCCACATGAGTCCCAATCCGTAGGACACCTCGCCATTCCGGTTGTGCATCCACTTGCGCTCCATTGCCTCCGAGTAAATGCTGAGACTGGGGATTGGATGTAGTGGATAATAATAGATTAGTTAATAGCAAACACAGAATGATGGGTAATACCTACCGGAAGGAATTGATGATGAACTGGAAGTACAGCGCGGGAGCAAGACCCTTTTGGAGGCCCAGCATGCCATCGTTTTTGGCCACCGTGACGAAGGCATGGACGATGCTTTTGTAGGGTACCACATAGGTTCCCCTGGCCGCCAGCTCGCCCTGCAGCTGGATCCGGGTCTTGATCACCTCGATGGGATTGGTAAAGAAGGTGGCGCCCACGGAGGCCAGACCTCCCAAAACGAAATCCGAGGTGGCCATGTAATCACGGGTTTAACTTGAGGATAGTGGGTGACTAGAAACTGTTGTGCCGCCTGCCGCGGATTCTGTGGCCTCAAGAAGCCGCTACGTATCTGTATCTGCCGTGTATTTCATAATTCCCCGCCGCGATTAGCTGGCACGACTGTGTTCCCCTCGCCCGTTATACAAATATAATATAAATATGGCGAGGAAAGTAATATAACTTAATTCCAGTGTGCCCGCACAGAAAGCTGCCAGACGGTCGCGAAAATTTAAAACATTTTTTAAACATTTTTTTGGGTATTTATATTGGGAAAAGGTGTAATAAGTTGAGAAGAATGGAATAGGACAGAAGTCTTAAAAATATCAAAGGATTTTATAACGGGAACCAAAGTCGCAGTCACAGTGATTTATGCATTTTACCAAGTCCGGCAACTCTGTACCTTCTAAGACTTTTTTAGGCTATTATACCGCCAAAACATTAAATAAATAGAACCTTATGTCAAACTTAATAATTTTAACCTATCATATAAAAATATAGTTATTCATGAACTTAGAGAATATTTATGGGATATTAATTTACCTGTTTATAGAGCCTAATCCTTACCAAACAATATTAATTTTAGACTCTCGTTCAACAGCAACTCTAACTAGCGGGAAAAGCGCCAGGCCGGCAGCACAGGTCGCTCTCTTTCCTTTCGAGCTGTCAAAGCGCCGAAGACGTGTGTGCGTGTTATTTTCAGCTGCATTTGTTTAAAAAAGTGGAATAACATTTATCAAAACCATGACTTCGCATCCCGTTTTCATAGACCTCTCCCTGGACGAGCAGGTAGAGTAGAAGTTCACCATATAAACCATGTTTTTGGGCGGCCTCTGGCCAGAATTGAGGTTATGTCTTCCTCTTGCTGCAAAACAAAACTAATACTTTGAATAATTTATGAAAAGGTACAAGAGCTGCGCAAGTATTTCAAGAAGCTGGGAGCCGAAATCTCATCGGAAAAGTCCAACAAAGGAGTGGAGGATGATTTGCACAAGATCATCGGCGTCTGCGACGTTTGCTTCAAAGACGGGGAACCCTCGCAGATTGACGGCATCCTGAACAGCATTGTGTCCATAATGATCACGGTAATTGAAATTAAATTGTCAAGTTAAACATAAAATAAACCCATCTGATATTTTAGATTCCCCTGGATCGCGGCGAGAACATTGTGCTGGCCTACTGCGAGAAGATGACCAAGGCTCCCAATCACCCGCTGGGCAAGGTGTGCCTCCAATCGCTGTGGCGCCTGTTCAACAACCTGGACACCGCCTCACCCTTGCGCTACCACGTTTACTACCACCTGGTCCAGGTGGCCAAGCAGTGCGAACAGGTGCTGGAGGTCTTCACGGGAGTGGATCAGCTGAAGTCCCAGTTCGCCAACTGCCCACCTTCATCGGAACAGATGCAGAAGCTGTACCGCCTCCTGCACGACGTGACCAAGGACACTAACCTGGAGTTGTCTTCCAAGGTGATGATTGAGCTGCTGGGCACCTATACCGCGGACAATGCCTGTGTGGCCCGCGAGGATGCCATGAAGTGCATTGTGACCGCCCTGGCCGACCCCAATACATTCCTGCTGGATCCTCTGCTGGCGCTGAAGCCTGTGCGCTTTTTGGAGGGCGACCTCATCCACGACCTGCTTTCCATCTTCGTGTCGGAGAAGCTGCCAGCGTACGTCCAGTTCTACGAGGACCACCGGGAGTTCGTCAACTCGCAGGGATTGAACCACGAGCAAAACATGAAGAAGATGCGTCTGCTAACCTTCATGCAGCTGGCCGAGAGCAGCCCGGAAATGACCTTCGAGACGCTGACCAAGGAGCTGCAGATCAACGAGGACGAGGTTGAGCCCTTCGTCATCGAGGTGCTGAAGACGAAGTTGGTGCGCGCACGCCTGGATCAGGCCAACCACAAGGTTCACATCTCTTCCACAATGCACCGAACCTTCGGAGCGCCGCAGTGGGAGCAGTTGCGTGATCTGCTGCAGGCCTGGAAGGAGAACCTCAGCACAGTGCGCGAGGGCCTAACGAGCGTCTCCTCGGCGCAACTGGAGCTGGCCCGCTCCCAGAAGCTGATACACTAGAAGCGCCACTCCCCAAAACCGCAGTGATGATGAACAAATGCTAGCCTCGGGGCAATGGAATTACGACCTAAATTATTTTCAAGAGTGCGTGGATTGGATAACTTGAATAAATTTATAAGTAAAATCGTTTGTAGAACCATGTCTCGATAAATGCGAGGAATACTTTAATATCTTATATATATGTTGTAGTGATTTCAAAGGCATTTAACGGTTTTCGCAAAATACAACTTTCTATTCAAAGTTAAAAGAATTATCATAAGCTTTTTCATTAAAATGCTATAAAAAGAAACTAAACTAACTTGATAAGTCTAGTTTTTTTTTGTAAAAATTGTCAATACGTAATATTGTAAATTGGAACTTTTTTTAATGGGCATTTGAACTAAAATCTTTTAAAAGTGATGTAAAAAAATGTATAATCTTTTAACCTTGGAAAAGAAAACCGAAAAATGACCTGTTAGAGTATTTAAGTGGTGTTTCCTGTTGATAAATTACAGCTCCTCGTGCACATTGGAATGCTTGCGGTCCTTCTCTTTGGGAAATCCCCAGAAATAGGACGGAAAACCGTGAGAGTCTCGTTCCCGTTTCACGAAAGCCGAGTAAGAAGAAATGCAGTTACCGATAAAGTGGTTTGACTGTCCGAGAACGGCCAAATCCAGGTAGGGATCATCCTCCGGCAGCTTGTGCACACTAATGCCCATTCGACTAAGGGCTGAACTAAGTTCGCCAATCATATGGTTGGAGTCTGAGGCCACAAAAACCGATTTGATTTCGTTGTCCGGCTGAGTCTGGCGTACGTTCTTAATGGTCCTCTTTAGCTGGCGGATTATGGACTCCTTGGAGGGCATACAAAGTTCTGGATAGAGAGCTCCCCGCTCATTTTTGTAGCCCAAACACTGGGGCGAGGCGAACAGATGCTGGCTATCCTTGACGTGCTCACAGGCTCTCACCCAATCGATGCCATTTCGCAGATGAATGCCCACAAATGCACCACGCGGCAGTTGCTCACGGATAAAATCCTTAGAAGCGTCCCTGTACCTTTGACTCCAGTGCATGTAGCGCTGCAGGTTGCAGTTCTCCAGCTGGACAGGAAAACTAGCTGGGGCTCCGGTGAAGGCTAGCACAGGCCAGGATTCCGCAGGATATTTGGCCTGCCACTTGGCAGCCTCGTTACTGTGGTGGACATCAAAATGCAGTGGCGCATAGAACTCGGACCTTACAAAGTCTATGTGGAAGGTGTCCCAAAAGGGACCGAAAGGATTGCCATCTTTGGCGTGGCAATTGGGCTTTTCTGGATCGTTCTTCTCCTGCTGAAGGCTGTACCGCTCCTTGTAGCAGAAGGAAACACGTTCCGATTCAGGCCACAGGTCGTCGGCCAGGTGCCACATGAAATCCGCCATGGTGATGACGCGGTGGTACTCCTTCAGCGGCTCCACATCAAAGTAGGTGTTGAATGGCACTTGGCGGGATCGAAGCTCGCCCCTGCGGTACTCCACCCATGGCGGCAGGATCAAAGTTCGATTCAAGGCCTTGGCAAAGGCTAATGATCCCAGGAAGTGGTCGGCCTGGTTGCCAAAGCGTCCTTAAAAAGGTACGGATTAGTTTAATTTTTGGACTATTTCCAAGTCGAACTTACCCATGCAGGGACAGTATGTAAGGTAGCCGTTGGGATCGCCTCCTAGTTGGGCACATGCTGAGCTTATTAATAGTAAAAATAAGTTTATTAAGCGGAGCTTCATTTTAAGCCACTGCATTCTGCCGGCTTCGTTTTCCTCTGACCAGGTGGCAGCTCTGTGCAAGAGGGTGGCTGACTAGAAACCTAAATGTTTTGAAAGCTTTTTAATGGAATATAAATTCGTTAAAATACGTATTCATTCTTATACGAATTAACTGGGAAGTTAAAAATATGTTATTTTTCACTAATTTACTAAATAATGTCCTAAATTGGCACACCCTACTCACACTAGCCGGAATACATAGTGTGGCAACCTCCTTTTTTTCAATCAGCTGTAATTGTTATTCTATGAAATTTGACTTATGTATGTATTTTATTTTAGACTATTTTAGACGAAATTGAAGAGATTGCAGAATGTTTGGTCTGTAAGTATTTATCTGCGAAAGGTTATTAATATTCTCATACATGTAATCCACAGCAAGGAGGCGCTCTGGTCTTATGGCAGTCGGACAAGACCATTTCGCATCTGCCGGCGCAACATAGCGGGTGAGGCTCCCCAGACGGAAGGGACTTTTAAATGGCGAAAGCCCATCGGACAGCACACAGGCATTAGCATTTACAACCATGGAATGCGGCAGAAGGTGCCCCTAATCCTGCGCAACCCCCAAATGGTCACCTGGTACACCTGCGGACCTACTGTCTATGACTCTGCGCATCTGGGCCATGCCAGCACCTACGTAAAGGTGGACATCCTACAGCGCATTCTTAGGGATTACTTCAAAATTAACCTTGTGACCGCCATGAACATCACGGACGTGGACGACAAGATTATCAAGAGGGCCCAGCTCGCCGGCCTCGATTGGCAGAAGATGGCACGAGCCTACGAGGCCGAGTTCCGGCAGGACATGCTGCGCCTCAATGTTCAGCCGCCGGATGTGCGCAGCCATGTGACCACCACCATGCCAGTTATTATACAGTTCATCCAACAGCTAATAGTTGAGAAGCAGGCCTACGTTACGCCGGATAAGTCTGTCTACTTTGATGTGTCCCAAAGCCAGAACTATGGAAAGCTACAGAAGCTGGATCCAAGCGAGGAAAAGTCGGACCCCGTTAAAAGAAGCAGTGCAGACTTTGCGCTGTGGAAGTCGCGGAAGAGCGGCAGCGAGCCGACCTGGTTGGCTCCTTGGGGTGGCGAGGGTCGGCCTGGCTGGCACATCGAATGCAGCGCCATTGCTGGTCTCTTCTTTGGCCGTCAGTTGGATTTCCATGCCGGTGGCCTGGATCTGCGCTTCCCCCACCACGAAAACGAGGAGGCTCAATGCTGTGCCCGCTACAAAACAGACCAGTGGGTAAACTACTGGCTGCACACCGGACAGTTGCATATGGTGGGGGACCCGCAGAAGATGTCCAAGTCCTTGGGCAACACCATAACCGTCTCGGAACTCCTCAAGAAGTACACCGCTGACGAGTTTCGAATGGCTTGCCTGCTGTCGAACTACCGCAACGCCATGCCCTACAGTGATCAGTTGATGCAGACCGCTCGGCAGACCCTGCAGAGATTTAAAAACTTCCAGGCGGATTTGAGTGCCTATACACAGTTCCTCAAGCCCGTCCACTTAATGGACGAGGGTGCGCTGAAGGCCCAACTGGTCCATACGGTAACCGAGTTCGATAGATGTCTTCGAGATGACTTCGATACGCCTCGAGCTATCAGTGTGCTGATGGATCAGATGAGCAGCATTAGTCGTTGCATCAACGAGCAGCAAGTGGACGCCCATGAGGAGCCTGCTTACTGCATGGATCTGCTTTTGGCAGCCGGTAACTTTATTAACCGAGCCGTTGTCTCGTTTGGTCTGTCGGAGTTGGTAGAAAGAGAATCATTGCAGGAGAAGGTCTCCTCTTCCGATCACGGCATCGACCCCTCCCTTCTGGTGGATGATGTGTTAAGCGTTCGAGGGAGGATGCGGGAGAATGCCACATCCGGAGATGTGAAAAACTTGCAACTATTGGCCGCCTGTGATGAGCTGAGGACTTTGCTCCAACAGCACGGCATACAAGTCCGCGACCACAAGAAGGGAAGCTCCTGGGTGTTTGCCGTGTCCTGTGAAAAACCTGATGATAAGAGCAAAAGCTCTGCAGAATAAATGTAATTTTTTTATTCTTTGGATCGTTGTTACATAAATGCATCTCTCATGCGTAGTCGAAAGGGTTGATCGGGTGCCACCGCGTGCTCCGCCTTGTAAAGGTCCTTAGTGATGAGGTAGTCGCGCACCAGCTTGAAGAAGGCACCCATGCTGGTAAAGGCTACAAAGCTGATGGAGAGCACAAAGTGCCACTCGACGCTTTCAGCGCTTAGAGATCCAATCTCCACAAGCAGCACGGCGGCCTGAAGAATGGCCAACGTAGAGTAGATGATGGTGGGATTGTGGAAAAGTTTCTGCAAAAGTTACATTAAATACTCGTTAATGATATCGGTCAAAAGATGTTTGTTTTAAAAACAGTAATATGTTGTAATATGAAATATATTAGAAAACTTTTGAAACTCAAACAATCAATACTTACATAGAATCTTGCATGACTTGCGTTTCCTGGTGTGGCCACCGTGACCAGGCCCTGACTTCTGTACAGTCCTCCGTTGTGCTTTACCACGGTGCCGTGGTTGTAAGAGGAGTACTTCGACCAGGCGAGGGCATTAGCGGCCACTATCAACTGCGAAGGCGCCGGCTCCCGGTCGATGCGCTGCCAGCAGCCTAAATGCAAGGTAGCCCGATGCAAAGTATCGCTATACTTAGCAGGATACAGGAATACGGCACAGAGACTGAAGGCGCCCAGACAAACGATAATGCAGTGCTGGGCAGCCCTGATTACATTATACTGGACACTGATGGCCAGACAACAGGGCACCAGGCCGCTGTAGTATGCATTGAGCATGGAGGTGAAGATCAGCTGCTTGAAGCGCTTGTTAAAGTCATGACGCAGTGTCTCCACTTCGTCCCTTATGTTCACCGGATTGGTGGTGCAGCTGTGAACGGGGAGATCGTTAATGTACACGCCAGGCAGCTCGAATCTGGTGCGCAGGAAGGGCTCCAGCTGGAAGCCGAAGATCAGCAGGTAGATGACGACTCTAAGGAAAAGATGGTAGAGTTTCTGCTGGATAATTAAATGATTCCTGCTTACGGATATGATAGGAAGAGAAGCAGAATGTAGGTGTGTTGCTGGTACAGCTTCAGGGCGCAGAATCCCAGGGCCAGCTGCACCAGACCTCCGAATCCGTACTTAATGCCGAGCCGGATGAACTGTTGGCTCTTTTCGTTGCCGTTCCTGATCTTCACCAGCAGCAAGCAGTAGATCAGTCTTCGCGTGTTGAGTATAAACAGGAGATAACGCAGATAGGGATCAATCAGCTCAATGTTCTGTGGGCAAGGATATGCCATTAGAGTGATGAATGGAATATGGAACCTTTGCAAACCCACCACCATGTGTCTGGTATGCGCCTGTGGCAACCACCAGTTGGTCCTGTAGATGTTGATGAACTGAACGATAGCGGAGCCCATGGTGAAGGCGCACATGATGAGCTCGCTGAGCCACTCGGATGTGGTCGCGTGCTCCGGAAAGGGAATATGCTTCGGCATCGCGGTGGCCGGCGTCTGGGATTGGCCCGGTTTGGAGGCCAGCAGGTGGGCGTAGGAGTCCTGCGTTTCGCTGGAGCTGCTGCCATCACTGCTGCGCTCGTCGTAGGTCATTTCGAGTGGCTTTGTCGCTTGCACCGGGAGCTACATTTAAATAATTTCAAGCAGCAATGTTTTTGTGCGGGAGGACGACTAGTATGACCGCGTCAATAACAATGGAAAATACCGTTGTGAGTTCACGTTCCATGGGCGTTGTCAAAGATATTTTTGTAGGGTTTTAAAATCTAACGAGATTTGAATAAGCATTGTTTTAATTTTGAAATTGGTGGAGACAGCTTTATAACTAACCATTTTAAGTCCTAGGAACAAAAATTTATATTAGTTTTAAGTCAGTCTACATTGTTTTTATTCGAGAGAATGTAAATTATTTGTTTTTGTATTTTGAACTGCAATAAGAGAAAAGCAATCTTTTAACATAACAAAAGTTTTTGTTAATTGTTATAAAATTCCGCCTTTGCGATTTTGGCATCTAATTATTGTCTCACTTGGCACAATTCTTGTTTTCCAATCTACACATTCATCTCCCACTTAACTCAAAACAAACCAACTGATAATAAAGGTCAAGAATATAACCATTTATGGATTGAAAAACGTAATCTAAGTATCGTAAATAGCTTCTGGGTCCTTTTTACCTTATCATGAGACATAATAATCATTTCAAGTGGCTAAAGGATTCGGAAATTTAACCTAACAAATCAATTGTTTTTTTTTTAAAAGTCTTAGTTGCTTTAAAATATCTCGGTTTTTAAGGACATGATATTATTTATTTGGTGGGAAATTCGGTGCTCCATTGATAATCCCTCTCGCTACTTCCATGAAAACAGCTGTCGTTAAACGTTAACCAATACTAATCAGTCTGCTGGATCTATCGACAATCGATATCAGTTGCTGCGAATTGTATCGAACCGTCTGGCAACGCCGGAGACAGCTGGTTTTGTAACTGGTCCACAAAATATTTAAAATATATATTAAAAGTACTTTGGAACCACCGAAATGATGCGCTACGAGGGTAACGAGAGGCTGGCCGATGAGACGGCATGTGCGGGAGTGCGGGCGGACCTGAAGATGTGTCTCCTGGAAAGCGAGTGCTGCCGAATGGGCAAGACTCCGCGCCAGTGCCTCCAGGATAACAATGTACCACCAGAGTGCCAGGTGCTCCGCAACACCTTCTATGAGTGCAAGCGCTCCCTGGTGAGTTCATTCACCATTATAACCAATCTTTCGAAAGCTCATACTTCTCCGCATCTTTCAGCTGGACAACAGACAGCGCTTTCGCGGCCGCAAGGGCTATTGAAGTTTAAACTTAAATTATATTTCTAAGCGCTTAAAATACAAAAAATTACACACATAACCGTGTTGAGTCCATTAATTGCGACGCCGGCGGACGCGGGAGATACGCCAGGCATTGGGCTCCTCGTACTTGTTGTACAGCGGCTCCAGACGCTGGTTCTTCTTGAACTTGCTCAACTTCGTAGGGTCCGAGAATCTGAAGAAGGACGGAGCGAACTCCACGAGCCACTTGGGATCAATGGTGGTCACCTCACGCATATACTCCTTGGTGGTCTGCACCAGCTCGTGGTAGATGACCCACTCTGGCTGGCGGTTGAAGAGAGCACTCGACGGATGAATGTACACCACTTGCGAGTCGACCAGGGTACGGTAGCCCTCCTGCGGATCCTTCTTGGCTGCATTGCGGAAGAATCCCGAGCAGATGGCCTTCTGAATTCGCACAGAGTTTTTGCCAGCGGATACCACATCCAATTTGTGCCTGTCCATGATTCCCAGCAGTTGCTTCCTCACATCCTGGCTGCGCTTCAGGGTACGGATCTGTACGAAGTTCTCGTAGCACCAGGCATTCGAGAATTTGTTGTTCTTCCAGCTGTTATACACGGCCAGCAGGGTCAAATGGTCGCCTGTAAAGTAGAATGCGTTAGTGTTGTTTTAACATATAAATTTCAAGGAAGCAGGTTATTGGACTTACCTTCAGCCTGGTTGAATTTTGCCTTCTTTTGATCCGCCAAGGCCTGCTTGTCCTTTGGCCTGTAAAACACATTCTGCACACTGAGCATGGAAACAATAGTCAGAATCTCATCGGAGCACTGCAGCGCTACGGACATGATGAGCATCTTGGAGAGATTCGGCTCGAGGGGGAACTCCGCCATGCGTCTGCCCAACCGAGTGAGCAGGCCTTCGTCGTCCAATGCTGATAGGGAATGCAGTTGTTCCAATGCCATCACCAGGGATTCCACTGGCGGGGCGTCCATGAAATCAAAATGCAGCAGATCGTTGATTCCCATCGTTTTCAGCTGCAGTACTGTGGTGGCCAGATTGGTACGTTGGATTTCCGGCACCGGAGTGGGCAGCATTTCATCTCGATACGCACGTTCCGTATAGAGACGATACGTTTTGCCCGGACCCGTACGCCCGGCTCTGCCCGCTCTCTGTTTAGCAGCCGCCTGTGAAATTGGAGTGACCACCAGAGAGTCCATGCCCGTTTTCGAGTTGTACACCTTCTGTTTTACGAATCCAGGATCTACCACATAGAATATGCCATCGATAGTCAGGGAAGTTTCAGCAATATTGGTAGCTATAACAACCTTTCGGCTTCCAGCGGGAGCAGGATCAAAAATACGCGTTTGCATCTCGGATGGCAAAGCGGAATACACCGGCAGGATAATCAGCTCGGGGACATCCGGTCCTAAACTCTTCATCCGCTCGTAGAGGATCTCGCAGGCTGTGTCGATCTCCTCCTGACCCGTGAGGAAGAGCAGAATGTCACCAGGGGGTTCTCGCAGATGGATCTGCATCACTGTGATCAGCGAGGCATCCAGATAGTCCGTTTCTGGTTCCTTTGTGTACAGAACTTCCACAGGGAAGGTTCTTCCAGGAATTGTGAAGATGGGCGCCTTAAAGAAGTACTGCGAGAACTTCACCGCATCCAAAGTGGCAGATGTGACAATTAGCTTCAGTTCCGGCCGCTTTTGCACGGCTGTCTTCAGTAAACCAAAGAGCACATCCGTATGGATCGTTCGTTCGTGAGCCTCGTCCAACATAATCACCGAATAACTCTTTAACTCGGCCTCCATGAGGCACTCACGGAGCAACATACCGTCCGTCATGTACTTGACAATGGTCTCCGGACTGGTGCAATCCTCGAATCGAATGGTGTAGCCTACCTCCTGGCCCAACCGACAACCATACTCCTCCGCCACTCGCTTGGCCACAGACATGGCAGCCACTCTTCTGGGCTGGGTGCAGCCAATCTTTCCTCTGGCAGTGAATCCACATTCGCTCAAGTACTGCGTGATCTGAGTGGTTTTTCCGGAGCCAGTTTCTCCAATAACAATCAGTATTTGGTTGTCCGTCACAGCCTTGATTAGATCATCTCGCAGCTTGTATATGGGCAACGACTGACGCTGCTCCACTAGCGTCAAATCAGTCTTCTTGCCAAAGGACGACTTCTTACCGCCAATAACATGCTTCTTCCATTCTGGAACTTCAGCAGGAGCGGCACCCATTCCCCGCATATTTGCCGCCAGGTTGCGGCTCTCATCCTCAGGCAGTGGATCTATCCAGTTTTTGTTGAGGCTCGTGGGCAGAGCCTCCATTTCCTGCTCGCGTTGAAGCATCTTCTGCTCGCGACGTTCCTTGGACAAAGCCGATTGCATCATGGCAGCTTGGGCAAGGGAGCCATCGGGATTCTTTACGATCCTCACAGGCGAGAGGTCATGTAAGGCTCTACCGTGTCCGGAGAGGAAGGGCGGCTCCTCCTCGACAATCTCAATTTCAATGTCGGCCTCGTCGTCTTCATCCTTCGGCAGCAATCCCGTTTCCTCGTCGAAATCGGGCATCTCACTCCTGTCCAGCACACCAGAGCTGATCATCTGCTTGATTTCCCAGCGTTCGGGGCTGGAAATCCTGGTCACACGCTTCCTAGACTCGTGCTCATCGCCATCCAAGCCATTGCCTTGCAGGTTCAACATGGAAGTGCTGCTGCTGAAAGGTCCATCTGGATTTCGATCTCTTAGAGACTCGTCGTCTTCAGGCGCGTGTGACAGCGGATTGAGATCCCGTCCAGACTCCTGATCCGCCTCCTTCATGGACAGCGCAACCTTCTGGCCCGTTATGGACATCACCTTAACTTTAACTGTCTGATTGCGACTGACCACCTCGGTGACATCTGTGACCCGTCCTTCTGCCCTCAGCTGTGAGATGTGCACCAATCCTTCCCACCGTTTGCGCAGTCCAAACAGTTGCACGAAGCAGCCAAAAGGCACAATATTGGCCACCTTACCGGAGTAGATCTTGCCCGCCTCGGGATCATCGGTCATGGCGGCGGAGGGCGGTGGCATCTTCTCGCTGCGATCCCTGGAACGTTCTCTTCTATCCCTCCGTTCTGTGGAACGTGAGCGACTGCGTCGTCGGCGTTCGTGGCGGTCTCTTGAGCTGGATCTCCTCCGACGCCTGTCCCGATCACGATCGCGATCCTCGCGAGACCTGCTTCTGCGGCGATTTTCTCTGGATCTGCTCCGCCGACGGCGTTCTTTGTCCCGCGATCTGCTCCTCCGCCGCTCTGAGGGTCTATCCTCCCGCGATCTACTGCGTCTCCTTGTGTCCCGATCTCTGCTCCTGCGCTTTTGGCGATCCCTGGAGCTGGCTTCTTTGGGCTGTTTCACCTCTGTTCTGCCCTCACCTGGTGCCAGAGCCTCCAACTCCAACATGGCTGCATCCACATCGCTCATGTCGGATTTCTTGTGTGATTCGGAAAGCAACTTCTCCGGTTTCCGCTCCTTCTCTGGTTTAGCCTCCTCCTCGTCATCGCTGCCCTCCTTTTTGCTGTACTTGTCATTGGGCAAAGCCAGGCCGGGAAACAATTTCATCAGCTGTGATTTCTTGTCCTCCTTCTTGTCGCCACTGCCAATCTTCTCTTCACTGGCGCCACCAGGACGACTGGGGCGCATCAGATTGATGATGCGCTGCAGATTCTGGACCAGGGAGTCCGGGAATTCGGCGCCATTCTCCAGCAGAGCCTTGCGAAACGAGTCGTATGTGCGATTTTTGTTCTCCAAATCGATGATGAACTCGGCGAGGTCCTTGTCGTTGATGCCCAAATGGTTGTCCAGCTCGGTGCAGATCTTCGAGACCAGCGACAGGTACTCCAACTTCTGCAGCTCGTCCATGCCGCCAGGTAGTCCTATTTCACGTTAAATATCCAATATTTGTGGAAATTTAAGAAAGTTTCGCTTTGCTACAAAACGGGATCAGCTGTTTTTACACGCCGTAGTGTTGCCAAACGCATGCCAACGGCCGAACGAGGTGGCAACGCTAGCCCCTAGCACTCGGGTTTTTTTGACGCTCCGCTTATTTTTGTCGCGTTTTTGTTGTCAAAAGTAAATCAGTCTCTGTTTTGATCGAACGCACATCGGAATATGGCTTCTTTCTTTGAGTGCTTCAACAATTTCCTGCAGACCGGCGGCAATGTGGCGCAGAATGTGTCGCAGGAGGAACAGAAAATCGCGGCCCAGCCGCTGGACGGCGATGTAGAGTTAGTCCCGCCAACCACTCCCACACCCAGCGAGAGTGTAAGTAGTGTCCTGGCTGGAGGAGCAGTTCCTCCGCATGTCCTTCATATTAGATTATCATTCCCCTGACAGTTTGTTGTGAAATAGCGTAAAATATTATCGCGGGACCTGGGGCTCGGGGAAGTGGCGGAGTTGCCAGATCGAATTTTCAGTTAGCGATGTGGCAACCCCGCGTTCAGGCACGCCATATTTTGCAAGAACGAAAAATTCGCGTAGTGCACAGGCAAAAACCAGAAAATCAATAAGAATTGCTGGTAAATTTAGTTCAATTCAGTGCGAGGCTCGTGTGACCTTTGCTTGGGCCAAGGGTCAAGTGGTTTTTGACCCATTTCAGCTGTTTCCCAACGCCGCAAATGCGACAACAACGTAGAAGAAGAAGAAAACAACTAAGGGAGGCAGCGCAGCCAATAAAAAGCGAAATTAAAAATTAACCATGAAGGAAACGGCAAATCCAAGCGGAGTGCAGTCGAAAACCTTGGAGGCCACCTCCTCGATAATAACCTACAGTCCCAGCAAGTTCCTTACTCGCGTTGGAGCAGGCAAAAGCACCTATACCACACACACACACACAACTACAACCACAGCGACGGCGACGGCGACCGCAACAAAAACAAACAATGCGCCAGTGGGCGGAGCCAGTTCCTCTTACTATGTGGTTAAGGCTGGATCTCTGGGCAGCGCAGCCTCCATGACGGGATCCATTAAAGTCAGCTCGCCGCCAAAGGCCTCGCCAGTGATTAAGTCGCCCGCCTTGGTCATCACATCGCCCTCAACGCCAACCGAGAGTGTAATGTTTAGTCTAAACTCTAGAGGCACCATTTCACCCACTAATCAGACCAGCACCGCATGCGCCCCACGTTCCCCCAGCCAGTCCATTCACCTCACTAATGTACCCTGTTTGCCCGTGTTAAATACTAATAGTCCTTTTCATCCATCAGTCCAGCACCATTTCGGCGCCAAGTGAATCCTCGTTTGGCGAGAAAATGGAGCACAGCTATATGCGCGATACGCCAGTCCGCAGCGAAGTTCACAATGGCCTTGCGCCAGCTAGGAACATTCTGGTGCGTCATCCTCCGCAGTGTCCCAGTTGTCACACCTATCCGCCACAGCAAGAGGAGCTGGCTGATTTGCAGCAGGTACATGTGCCGCCCTACGATGAGATAGCTGCCAAGGAGGCAATGAATGAATGCGCTCGCATTGCAAAATACGTGAGGAACAACAATTCGGATGAACAGGACTGGGTGGAGCGTGTTAATCAGTGAGATCTTGGTGAAAGTTCACTAGAAATCTTAGTTAACTCTATATCTCCCTCACAGATTTAATTGGACTCCCACACAGCAGATGCTATTCGAAAAGGTCTGTGCCATCCTGGACCAGGATCAGTTGGCTCGCCTGGCCAACGACAAGCGCCAGCACGAGGCCATCCACCGACGCGTCAGTGCGGACAAGTCTGCCTCTAGGCTGCGCAAAGTTCTGGCCAGCGTGGCCTGGGAGACACGCATCACACAGTGGATTCACGCTCTGCTCATGGAGCACCTGCCGCCCTCGTATATGGCCTCTTACCTGGAAATTCTGCAGACGCTTAAGACCAAGCTGCCATCTTTGGTGGACAAGATGCTGTTCAGCAGGCCACTGAACAATAGCCAGGAGTTGCTTGCGCCGGTGATGAAAAAGCGCTGGGAGCCGAACATCCTGCCCAAGGGCCGTCAACTCACGCACAACGCCATTATGGTGGTGCTGCCCACTATGCCCACCAGTGGGCCAGTTTCAGATCGCATGCAGAAGTGGTACCAGGAATTGGCCACTATCACACAGGTGGTTCAGATCTCGCTGCCCAATACAAGTATGTTCATAATTACTACAATCATGATTGACTAAACTAATTTCAATCCCTCCCTAGACAACAGAATTGCCAATCAGAACCTGGACCAGGTGGCCGAGACCATTGTGTCCCTCACACGCGTCAAGATCCACGAATTGCGCACGGAGAATCCTAGTCGAGGCATCATTCTCGTCGGCTTCAATGCTGGATCTGCCTTGGCTCTGCAGGTTGCCCTTTCGGAGAGTGTTGCCTGTGTGGTTTGCATGGGATTTGCCTACAACACGATGCGTGGTCCACGAGGAACACCCGACGATCGCATGCTGGACATTAAGGCGCCCATACTGTTTGTCATCGGCCAGAATTCAGCCCGCACCAGTCAGGAGGAAATGGAGGGCTTGCGTGAGCGAATGCAGTCAGAGTCTTCACTGGTGGTGGTGGGCAGTGCTGATGATGCTCTGCGTGTTCCAAAAAGCAAGCGACGCATAGAGGGCGTTACCCAGTCCATGGTGGATTACATGGTGGTTGTAAGTTAAAAGGAGCAAAAAAAACAAATTATCAAAGAACTATATTTTAATACATTTTTATCATTTTGCAGGAGGAAGTCTACGACTTCGTGAGCAAAACGCTGAGCAATCCCCCTGGACCACGAATGCCCACTTCTTTAATGCACCAGCAGGGTTATCAACGCCAACAAAAGCAGCCAACTCACATCCTGGCCGATGGAAACGCAAACAAGGCCATTCAGCAAATGCGCAAGCGGAAAGTGGACGGCGGCTTAGACGATCCAATGGGTCAGCCGGCCAAGTCGAAGTTTGTGCCCCACAGTGAGTACCAGTATTCTAAATTCGGACGGTATATTCAGCACAACCTTAACATCATACTATCCATCCCGCATGTAAACCCACTAATCACTTAACCTTCACTATCCCAATCCTAACTCATCCATCGACGAAAGGTCGCGCCCAAAAGCCGAAGCCACCGCGTCTCATTGATCCGTTTGCTGCTAAGCGGAAGGGTAAATTCATCCCGGGTTTTCCTCTAAGGCCACTTGTGGCTGTCATACCCGATTCATCAACTAACATTTTTACCCCCTTCAGTTGGAAGACCCCGAACTCGTCCTCTCCCTAATGTCGGTGGCTCGGCCGGTTCTGTTTGCCAAAAAGGTGCACCTCATCCAGAAAATCCAAAGTTGAAAAGCGAAGAACTAAACCGATCCATTAAATTCATGCTAGATGATGCCCTGGACTACGAAGATGCGCAATCGACTGCAGGAGGATCTGGACTGGGAGGGTCAGCAGGCGTGCCCAAGGTGATCACTCCAGGAGTTTTGGGGAAACAACTGCCTGCCGTCAATCTCGCAGCCGGCACCAAGATCAAGATGATACCCCCGAACCAGTTTGTCCAAATCTCTAAGCCCCTTTCGGCACAGGGAAAACTCATCAACTACACGCTGAACAAGCCAGGTGTGGGAACCGCCAGCACCGCCACCATTGGCAGCATTGTAAAGACGCTACCAAGTTCATCGGTTAGTGGCCAGCAGATCTTCACCTTGAAAACGCCCACGGGACAAACGCAGCAGTTTGCAACAGCTGGCTCATCGACGGGTGCAGTCAATTCGTCGACGGGGGCGGGACAACAGAAGTACACGGTGTTCAAGAACGCCAACGGCATGACCATGCTGCATCTTACAAAGAGTGTACCCACTACAGCAGCCAACAGCCCTTCCGGGAGTATGGATTTGTCCAACATTATCGATATGCCCATTGTTTTTGCCGACAATGAAGGCAACATTCCCGAGGCGGATAAGGATGTTAAACCAAGTGGGTTAAATGGTGTTTCTCTTTTATTCATGATTTAATTGTAAATGTTTTACAGCCCCCATTCGTAGCGCCAATAAGAGCCCTCTGATCATCAGTCAGAAGATCATAAAGGAGGCTAACAAGCCCCCAGGCATGGTCACCACCAGTGGAAGCATAAGTGGAGCCACCAAGTCGGGCAATATAGTGCTCAACAAAAGCCTTCAGCAGTTGTTCACCCCTGCGCCTGGGGGAACGGTTCCCAGTCAGAATAAATTGGTTTACCTCAACCGGAACACAATAAAACCAATGGGAAACGTAGTGACTGGTACTCATCGCGTGCCTATAAGGATTGTGAGCAGTCCGAAGACGGGAGGAGTGACTGCCACTACCACAGCATCCAATAGTCCTATCATGGTGGATCCTGCTACAGGATCTCTGGTTACCAGTGTCAAGACCGTCAATGTGCAGACCATTAAGCCAACTGGTTCTGGTCTCGCGCAAGGAACTCTCCGTCAGGCTGGCAGCGTGGGCAACAAGAGCTATTCGCAGTTCCAGGTGATCAATAGTGGCACTCCGGTGACATCCAAAACCGTTTCTGGAGACGGTAAGACGCCCGTGCGAAACATCTACTTCAAATCCGCCACCGGACTCAAGCAGGTGCCAGTGCAGATGCTGGGCAATCGCATACCGGGTGGAGCCGTTGTCTCCTCATCAGGGACAACATCTTCTGGAGCTTCTGCCGTGCGTCGAGTGGTCAACATCGGACCCGTTCCCAAGGTGACGGCCACGTCGACAACACCGACTTCGACAGCGGCTACTTCGACCCAAAACAAAAACTAGAAATAGACGGGATTATGTTATTGTCTTGGTTACATTTTATATTATAAATGATAGCTAATAGTTCTGTAAATATGTTAAGGAAGCCATTATTAAGTTGGTGACTAGGGGTCTTGAATTTCCCCTTACCCATTATTTCATTAAAATAAAAAAGACATAAATTTACAAAAAAAAGAAGTTAATTGTAGATTCTGGGAATTCGGAGAACGCAAACCTGTGCAAATTCCAAGTCTGGGTTTAAGG